AAGGTAGAGATCCCTAAGGACATAAGGTCTGTCTCCAGTTTGAACAGACTGAACAATCCCAACATTCAAGGATCTAATCTATCATCACATTCTTACAGGTCACGATGAAACAAAAACTCAATACACATTAATGATAGCAACAGCTTTTTGTCGCAATGGACAAAACACATCTCAATGTACCAACACATTATGCTGTACACAGAGACACTATGCAGCTTAGCACATGCATTTAAAACAAACATTGAACAATAAGTGACTTTTCTGTTTGCAGTCAGAGCTTTGAAGCACAAGCCTGGCAGTTCATTCAAAATTTCATTTGATACCATGTTCAGTTTTGATTAAAAAATTTAATAATTCAACCATGCAAAACCACATTGCAGGACTTGTGGCATTTACTGATTTTGTGTTTACACAGAGCTTTTCACAAGTAAACTCTGACGTATAGTTTATACAACGATCTGGTGATGTCGGATGAGGAGATAGTTCAGGTGGTGTAAAAGGCAGGGCAGATAAAGGTGAGAACAGTTAAACCTTTACAGCTCAATGGCTCAACCTCCAAAGTGTAGGGAGAACAGGAAATATAGGGAAAACGAACAACTTCAACAGTGATACATCAGGTTAAAGAAAATTGAGTACTTTGTAAAACCTTCTAAAAAGTAACCAGCTAAATTTTACATTTTTAAATTTATACAGCTATCCCTTGTTTAGTGTGCCCAATGTGTTGACAAAAAAGTGGTGAACAAAAATGCATTTAACAAAATTTTGCCGTAAGAAAACAAAAGGGTGGGTATTATTCTTGCATTGGACACTACACTGCCCCTGTTCATTACAACAGTTTCTATGGCTGATGCTGTCACCTCAAAAAATGTTAACAGGAAATGAATCTTGAAAACAGAAAACTAGCTGAACCATTAAATAAATGGCAGATTTGAACTGTGTAATTCCCCTGCACACCTAAAAGAGACCAGTCTGGCAATAAACTTGAAAACATTAAACAAAACCAAAACATGCTATGCATTCAGAACTACCTCCATGAGTGCAATGATAAAGAAAATCAGTGTAGCCAGTCAGTTCATCAAGGTTAATCTGATTATGGTCTTAGCTCCGTGTACCTGCCTGTTCCCCACAAACCCAGCGTCCCTTGTCAATCAAGTCTATCTCCACCTTCAATATATTCAACGACCCAGCATCCACACTGTTCTCTATGGAAGAGAATTCCAAAAACCAAGCACCTCAGAGAAGAAATTCCTTCTAGTCTTAAATGAGAGACTCCAATTTTTCAACTGTGCCCACTAGTTCTACACTCCCTCACATCATCTTTCAGCATATGCTCTGTCAAACCCCCTTGGAATCTTCTACGTTTCAGTAAAGTGACCTTCTAACCACCGAGTACAGGCCCAATGTGCTCAACCTTTTCTCATAAGTCAATCCCTTCATTCCAGGAATCAACCTACAGAACTGCTTTCAAAGCAAATATATCTCTCCTTAAAGATACCTAAGCTGTACATAGTTGTCTAGTGCAGTTTCACTAATGTCTCAGAGATAGTAGGAACTGCAGATGCTGAAGAATCCGAGACAACAAGGTGCAGGACTGGATGAACACAGCAGGCCAAGCAGCATCATAGGAGCAGAAAGGCT